TAGCCCATGCCTTTGAAAGAGGGACCGCAAGTTAACCATGCCATCGTTTCTCAATTGTATGGATCGATTCTCATGATGTCAGTCACTGGATTGCCTGGTCCAGACTCGGTTATTTACAGACCACCGTCATATAGCTGCAGTATTGATGAGTGCGGGGTAGAACAACAAACAAACAAACAAACAAACAAAGAATGGGCACAAAAGGCAAAATAGTGGTGAAAAGTATATGAAGGAATCACTGAAAGTCAGTGAGTGAGTGAGTTGGGTTTAAAGCCGCTTTTAACAGTATTCCAGTCATATCACGGCGTCAGCTTAATGTGGGAGGAAAGCCCGAAGTGATGTAAGTCTCAGGTGTTTACCACTTCGGTGAAACCCACGAGCACGGGTATGGTGCTGACAAACCTAGAAACATAATCGGGGCGAACCGGGATTCGAACCCACAATCATAGGTTTCTGGCGTGCCTAAGGGACGTAACTCTGCACAGCGAATCGCGGCGCCTAAGACGACTGGGCTACCCGTGTCCCCGAAAACCAGTGATAACATCAGGTGTTTGCGTAAAGTGAAAGCCTGATTTTTGTTCTGCTCTACCGGTAGAACTCGCCACACCAAGTATTGGTATAATAGTAAGTGTCTGTAATAGTAGTATATGATGCCTGACGCCACACAGCAGTCCTCTTGCTCGTAAACAACCAAAGGAACCATGGCTATGGGAAGGGTTTTGTCGCTTTTATTGAGCTAAAGAGTTGGCGCGGTGCATATACATGTTACTGCAATCAGCTAATAGAGTAACTTCTTTGAGTGGCATTTAGAAGTTGGTGTTATGAAGTAAGTGCATAATTGTAATAAAGAAGTTGTTCATCCATAGAACTCGTCTTACTTCAGCTAATGGAGTGTATATTTAGACATTTCAAAACGAAAAGCAGCCAGAGAGACTATTGAAATGTTCTTTTGACGATAGTCATGAGTAATGTCAAGATGAGCTGAAAGCACACGGGGACCTATTGATGATGGTCTGAGAACATTTTATCACAATTTAATTTAATTTAATTTGGGTAATAATTGTGTCATTAAAAGTGTTTAAATTTTTACAATTTCGACATTTTTTTATATGGTTTCTGGTATCCGTGATTTAACCATTTGGAAATTTTACAAATACAACCCACATATAGTACTTGTCCTTGAATTCCGTAAATGTCTGAATGAATAAGAAAGTGTTTTACCTCTGTCGAAGACCTGTGTTGAAGCACTCGAAACTTGATTCGTCATGTCAACAGTCTGCTTGTCGTATAAATAACACTCCGCATCACCGCCATCACCTAAAGACACCGTGGTCACACAGTTACTGATATATAAACAATTTTCAATGCACTTTAAAGTAGTTGTCCTTTGAGTGAACCAAATAGGAGCATCCAAAAACATCCTATTTGCCATGTCCCCGCACCTTCTGAAATCGACACGCTTAATTTCACCCTGAACATATTCTCCAAGAAGAATAAGCAGTAAATTCCAAATGAAATTGACCATGGTGTTATTCTTAAGTAAACTTTGCTTCAGTCTGTCAGCACGTGCACGGGAGTCGCGTGGAAGTCTCGTGCTGCGCGAGCTAAGACTGTTGCGGCAGGTGAAACGAGTTACAATATCTACACTTCAGCTGAAAGTGAAATCGATGCAGCAGAGAGAGAATTCGCTTTCTGAGAATCAATAGTCAGTGAGGCATATTGTTGTTGTTTTTAGAGTTTATTTCGTTTGAAATAGTATACATGTAGCGTGTAACTGTTATAAAATAGAACTCATACATTTTTTCTTGATAAACAATATTGATATGTGTCAAGTGAAGAACACTTTCAGCAAGAATGGTTTTGTTTGTTGGCTGTTTGACGCCACCGAACATTTCAGCTACACATTAATGACTGTGGTCTGTAAATAATCGAGTCTGGACCAGACAATCCAGTGATTGATAATAAGAGCTATGATCCTCGTCTCCAGGGTGCGATGGCATGCAATCAACCAAGTCACCGAGACTGACCACCCGATCCATTAAGTCCCCTCGACAGACAAACTTGCTGACAGGCGTTAAAAGATAATCAGTCAGTCCGCGAAAAATTCTGCAGCTTAAATTCCGGCCGCCATGAACGTCCTATTGATATAAAAGCGTTGAGCTCCTTGTTTCAGAGATAGGAAAAAAACCTATGTCGGACGTTGTGTTTGACTGCATAGGGGAGGTCGATATATTTGTCGGTGGCAACGTACTGATGTGTCAGTAATCCTGAATCAGAAAAAACCCTTTCTTCCAAAATAATCACAGATCTTAAGAAGCTCGCAAAATTCCTCTCAATCATAGACAAAAATGTGAAATAAATAACTAATTTATTCATACTCATGCATTCCTTTATAGTGTAAGAACTGATGTGTTCCCATGTGCACTATATTAAAGTTTCTTATGATTTATTGGTATATACTGTAAATAATCATGTGGGTGCATTATTATGTGTGAATGATCATTCAACGTATTCATGTCTTTGATATACAAATGTGTGATATTTTATTTAAATATATATTTATGTAATCTTGCTTATCCTATTTTACTGAAATTTACAACTTTTCTCTTCTACCACCATTGGAGTTTTTTTTCGGAGAATAAACTAGAGTTGAGTTCAGCAATATATTGCTTATGCGCTTCTGGTCGAGTGGGCTATTGTTTCCCAATGCTTGATTCGTACTCTCATTTAGTGAATAAGACGCTAATATGATATTGAGTCTCATTACCTTAAATGTGTATCGTGTTTTTTTAAATGTCCTCATAATGGACATAGTGTCCATTTTTGTCCAGTGTGCAATATGGCATAACTCATCAAGCATTTAGATGTGCAGTAAATGTGTGCTCACCACACACCAAAATGGTGTTATGCGTTTGTGATTAGGAGTCACACAGGCGGACTAATCACACACAAAAATGGTGTTATGCGTTTGTGAGTAGGAGTCACACAGGCGTGCCAATCACACACCCAAATGATGTTATGCGTTTGTGATTAGAAGTCACACAGGCGTGCTAATCACACACCAAAATGATGTTATGCGTGTGTGAGTAGGAGTCACACAGGCGGACTAATCACACACCCAAATGATGTTATGTGTTTGTGATTAAGAGTCACACAGGCTTTCCAAGCACACACCAAAATGATGTTATTCGTTTGTGATAATGTGTCACACAGGCGTGCGGATCACACATCAAAATGATGTTATTCGTTTGTGATTAGGAGTCACACAGGCTTTCCAAGCACACACCAAAATGATGTTATTCGTTTGTGATTATGTGTCACACAGGCGTGCGGATCACACATCAAAATGATGTTATGTGTTTGTGATTAAGAGTCACACAGGCTTTCCAAGCACACACCAAAATGATGTTATTCGTTTGTGATAATGTGTCACACAGGCGTGCGGATCACACATCAAAATGATGTTATTCGTTTGTGATTAGGAGTCACACAGGCTTTCCAAGCACACACCAAAATGATGTTATTCGTTTGTGATTATGTGTCACACAGGCGTGCGGATCACACATCAAAATGATGTTATGTGTTTGTGATTAAGAGTCACACAGGCTTTCCAAGCACACACCAAAATGATGTTATTCGTTTGTGATAATGTGTCACACAGGCGTGCGGATCACACATCAAAATGATGTTATTCGTTTGTGATTAGGAGTCACACAGGCTTTCCAAGCACACACCAAAATTATGTTATTCGTTTGTGATAATGTGTCACACAGGCGTGCGGAACACACACCAAAATGATGTTATTTGTTTGTGATTAGGAGTCACACAGGCTTTCCAAGCACACACAAAAATGATGTTATTCGTTTGTGATAATGTGTCACACAGGCGTGCGGATCACACATCAAAATGATGTTATTCGTTTGTGATTAGGAGTCACACAGGCTTTCCAAGCACACACCAAAATGATGTTATTCGTTTGTGATTATGTGTCACACAGGCGTGCGGATCACACATCAAAATGATGTTATTCGTTTGTGATTATGTGTCACACATGCGTGCGGATCACACACCAAAATGATGTTATGTGTTTGTGATTATGTGTCACACAGTCGATGTCATGTGAGGACATAAAAATGCCTGTTTTGAGTTTGTTGCCAACTTAGATTTAAAGGGTCAGTGTTGCTATACACTGGGGACAAAAGGAAGTATACCCCATGTTTTGGGCAATGTATTTGATACGGGTATCACTGTTGTGTTTTGGACCTAATATTTGCAGTATCTCGACGACTGTTTTCAGCCTAAATTAGTAACGTTTTGATGACGTTTTTAATTTGTTGGTCAATCCAATTTTCAAGTGTATACCTGCCCGGGAGTTTATTGCGCCAGCAGATCCACGCGGGGATGCCAGGGTAGAACAGATCCCCAGTACCCAATAGTGTGGTCCTGATTTTGTTTATTGTACCCAAATGTGACCGCTGCCATGTCAGATACCTCAAGGGGGCACGGGTGGCCAAGACGTCTAAGGCACCGCGATTCGCTGTGCAGAGTTGCGTCCTTTGGGCACGCCAGAAACCTGTGATTGTGGGTTCGAATCCCGGTTCCCCCCGATTATGTTTCTGGGTTTGTCAGCACCATACCCATGCTCGTGGGTTTCATCGAAGTGGTAAACGTCTGAGACCTGCATCACTTCGGGCTTTCCTCCCACATTAGGCTGACACGCCGTGATATAACTAGAATATTGTTAAAAGCGGCGTTAAACCCAACTCACTCACTCACTCATCACACGTTTCCCTTAGTATGGCTGTATGGTATGGATAATTTCGAACATCTTAATGGAGGGTTGGTCAAAAGTAAATAATTTGCCTGCCAAGGCAAAAGATATCTTACTGGACCTTCACTCAGCAACACTTCAAAAACCGTCACGTATCAAAAGCCAGGGTCGATTATATGAAGTCATATTCATAGAGAAAAATGTTTGCTTGAACTTTCTAATATCACAGTTATACAACACATATGAACTTTATTCATGCACAATGATATCGTTCACCGCGGCACAGAAGTATCTATACTCATTTCTTTTTTCATTGATTTTGTCCAATGACATTGCATCATTTTATGCACTGCAACACTTCAATCTCAGACAACATGGCGGGCAGAATGCGATCTCTTTCATCCAATAGAATCGCAGCGTTTAAGTCACTCTGGTCTGGGACAAGATGGCGGGTTGAGGTCTCCAAACACATTGAGCTCGTACAAGCAGGTTAGAGCCATGACAATGACATACACAACGAGGTAGACGACACCAAGGGGTTTGTTAAGTCGCCATCCGTTGATTGTGAGGGACACGATCAAAAAGACCACAGTTCCTAGCAAGGTCAAGGACGAGTACACAAGCCCGCTGCTGGAGATTGATAACGATTCGCCCGGGGTGACAGCGGCTGTTTGGAGTAACCATGGCAACCCCAGGCAAATAAGGATGTCGAACACGTTGCTTCCGATGGAGTTGGAGACAGCCATGTCCCCCCAGCCTGGAAATAAAAAGACGTTTACATGTCACTGACATAATAATACCTTGAGATCTGGTTTGTGAATTATTAAATTTTATATTTACAACTGTGGGATCGCGATGGGATCTCCGCGATATGATGGCCTTTTTTTCTTTTTTACTTTTTTTTTTTTGGGGGGGGGGAGGGGGGGGGGGACCATTGCAATCTCTTTAAAATGAAATATTTTACTCAGATGCAACACCTACGCGACAAGATAACGGCATTACGATGTTCACGTAACGTAAAAGGCGATAGTTTTCATTATAATAAAAAATTACGTCTAGCAGACCCGATATGCAGCAGGAAAGCGTCATTGTGACGTTCACGTACCGTCCCTGGCGACAAAGACGCTGGACAGACAGTCGGGGACGCTGGTGCCAGCAGCGAGGATGGTGAGCCCCATGACGGTGTCGGGGATGTTAAGGGCGTCCCCTGTAGTGACGAAACAGCATAAAAAAGTGAGTACGTGACAACCCTAGCTAAAACATAATACTTTTTGTTTTTATAAGAATGTCTTGAATGTATAGTTTTGCCCTTCTGTAACAGTTGTTCATGTATACATGCGTCATGTAGCAGACAAGGAGTAGGAATGTTGTGCCTCATCTTATTTGTAGATATGATGGATGAAGTAACAAATATTCCAGAACATTCAGGTAGCTGCAGGGCCTCGTGGCGCCAGGTGAAGCGCAAGGTGAAGTGCCTGTGTTAAGAGTGAGTGAGTATGGTTTTATGCCGCTTTAAGCAATATTCCAGCAATATCACGACGGGGGACACCGGAAATGGGCTTCACACGTTGTACCCATGTCGGTAATCGAACCCGGGTCTTCGGCGTGACGAGCGAACGTTTTATCCAGAAGGCTACCCGACCGTCCCTGTGTTTAGATCAATAACGCAAACACGTCTCAATCATCCTCAGCCTTCTGCATTTGCATGGGGCCAGATTAGTTCATTTTCTCAAAAAGTATATTTATAAGTAAGTGACTGAGTATGGTTTTACGCCGCTTTTAAAATATCTAAGCAATATCACGGCGGGGGACACCAGAAATGGGCTTCACACATTGTACCCATGGGGAGAATCGAACCCCACCGCCCCTATATTCTAAAATGCCAACTGAAGTCAAGGGTAAGTTCAGTCGTCTGTCCACATGGCCCAAGCTTAACATGTTTTAGTCACGTGTTTATCTTATATTAACACAGAAATATATCTTATGATATTAATCTCTTTGGAATTAAACAGGTTATTTCGAATGGGGTAAATATTTGGATCTTAACATTGAATAACTTCTTTGCAAATGAACATAAAATGGTATTCATCACCTCTAACACCTCGGTGACAAGTTGTACATAAAGAATTTGATTAATCTACTGTCTAACATCAGATTCTACATTTTCAATAAGACTCTTGTAACGCTAACATAGATTGTAAACATAAAATGGGTTATCGTCGTGCCAAATTTGATAAAATTTGAAAAGAAAAGGAAACACCGGGCGTTTTTCATTTGAAGTTTATGTTGTTGAAATTATGGACGAAAATAGAATAAATGTTGAAGTCGATGTTTCCAGAGAGCTTGTTTGTGTAAACAGTTTTTCAGTTATTAATCTGCGCATCAGTTAAATCAGCACTGCGACAGACAAGGCCTTAGAGCTCATGTATTTCAAACCTAATTATTTAAAGGAATAGAATTTTATGATTGCCAACTTCTTTATTGTGAAGTACACGTTTAGTATATGCTTCCTCCTTCATCAGGTGAATGAATGCTATGAGGCAGATAGCATACATATGTACATGAAAGAACAACAAAAGTAATAAGATAACAAAAGGCGGAAACTTAACAAGGAAAGTCAACAGATAATTGGCGCTGATAGGTGAATAGCAATAGACAATACCCCAGATCAAGTTGACATCCATAAAATTCTCTGCCTTATGTGTATCAGTTCTAAATGCCTTTCAAAGACTATTATGTAAAGCAAAACTGTTTTGAAATGTTGTCAGGCACCGAAACGTATTTGCTGTCGTTGTCATGGTGACGGTCACCATGTTAACCATTATTACCTGCGATTGTTACCATCCACACCATGACGTAAGAGAAGGCGGCAATCCACACTATGGACAAGGTGAAGGTCAGGGGGTACGTCTTCCGCCACTTCCCGGGACGTCGACAGTCAGGCACCGTGAAGTGAAGCAGACATCGGATTGGTACCATGGCAAACCAGTAGATCCGGTGGACCACCCCATTAGGTACGGTCCAAGGAGATTCGTACTCTGAGGGAAAAGGTTGATTTTGATTTTGATTTTTGAATTTCAGGCAAAGCTTGTTCTAAAGAGAGATATCCTCCAAAATCTGACGCCAGTGTTTGGTCTAGATATTAGTCCCCTGAGTGCAACTGTTAAAGAAATAATTGTTTTCTGCTGGATTAATGACAAAAACATACTCTGAGCTGACAGATACCAGTGAACACCTTGAACACACTCGCTGGGGCTCCAAATACACCGGAGTCATAATTCTATTTCAAACCTTGAGATCGATAATAACAAAGCAAGTTAGATTTATGTTAACCGTTCAGTTGTCGTTGAAGATGTGTTTTGTATGAGACCTATTTGATTGCAAATAATCAATATTTTTTAGGTGTCAATGTAGACTTTCAACGCATTTGAACGTTCAGCCGTGCGTATGGGGCCAACCAGTGCGCTTCAATATTCACGAATACGACTCTTTTGGTAGATAAGTCCATGGTTACTATGCTTTTATTAACATTCGACTAATGAGAATCGATTTGTTGCAATATGTCATATGGTACCCAAAATCAACGTTTGGAAATTCATTGGCCTCTTTTTTCATTAATCCCCATAGCGTCCAGACTCCAATATTTACAGGCTGCCATCAAATAAATGGAATATTAAAGAACGAAGAAACCAAAACCAATGCAAACTTTATAATTTCACACCTTCCCCCGTGGGGATTTCGATCCAGTATACGAGGTTTCAGGATCAACACCTAATGTGTCTTGAGAGTCCGTTAAAATGTGTATCTCCCTCAGGATACAATTGGTCTCTGGAACCTAGCGTCCGTAATCGTCTAGTATACCCGTATAAATCCGGGCCCAGTGACGAATCCAGTTAGAATATTGCTCTTTATCATTCTATGTCCGTCGTAAGAGGCGACTGACGGGATCACGTGGTCAGACTGTCTTTGTTGATGTATATCATCGTTTCCCAATTGCGTAGATCGATGCTCATGGTGTCAATCACTAAATTGTCATGTCCAGACTCGATTATTTACAGACTGCCGTCATATAGCTTAAATATTGCTGAGTGTGGCGTTACACAACAACAACAGCAACAACAACAAAATGTTACTGTCAAAGCGACCGGTTCATGACAACGTTTGTCTGATTGGACATTAAATGCCAAAGGTGAAATATTTTATAGGTATTTAGAAATTGGATGAACATGAGGGGGAGGGGCAGGAAGTCGCCCTGAAACGTCGTTACAAACAATAAAGAAGCTGAAATCCATAAACACGTGCTTTTCATTCTTATCACCATTGTATTGTATTCTGCGCCATTCTGCTTGTAACGTGTTGGCCAGTTGTGGGCGTGGCTGTGGCGTGTTCTGACGTTGACGTACACGTCGATCGAGTTCATCCCAGAGGTGTTCGATTGGGTTGAGATCTGGAGATCTCGACGGCCAGGGCAAGACGTTGATGTTGGCATTATGGACGTTGTCTACCATGACACGAGCTGTGTGCGGTGGAGCGTTGTTCTGTTGAAACAGCTCCCTCTGGCGGTCAATGATTGGAAGAAGGTGAGGTTGAAGAATTTGATTAATGTAGCGATTCGCTGCCAAATTTCCCTGAACCACAACCAAGTCAGATCTCGTGGTGTACGATATGGCCCCCTACACCATGACACTACCGCAACCGAAATTGTCGAATTCAAGTACACAGTGTGGGGCAAAACGCTCATTTCGACGACGATAAACACGTTGTCTTCCATCTCGCCTGTGAAGAAGAAATCGTGATTCACACCCGTCTCCTGTTTCTCAAATTCCAAGGCTGTAAGGTATGGCACCAACGCAAGCGTCGCTGTCGATGAAATCTGTTGCAAAACAGGGACGATAACTTGTCTCCTTGGTCGGATTCAAGCCTCGCGAATATGGTTCCTGACAGTCTGGTCCGATATCCTCCTCAAACCAGGGATGCGTCCTGCAGGCATCGTAGCTGTGGCATGGCGATGACGTAGGTGGAACAGCCGAATGTAGCGATCCTGTGCAGGGGTGGTAACTCTTGGACGGCCGGTTCTCGGGAGGTCTGCAGTGGAATTGAACTGTGTGTATCGGTCCCAAAGGCGGCAAATGGCGCTGTGGTGGACGCTGAAATGGCGTGCAACAGAAGACTGCGGTTCCCCTCTTTGGATACGTCCTGTGGCGATGTTCCGATCGGCAGTGCTGAGTCTCGGCATTTTCGAACTTGTTGGCAATTGAATGACAAATTATTGGCTTATGCTTGCCTTTTTATAGCCACTACCACGAGTTACGAATGCCATAGCTTGCACGTGCATTTTGCTTTACTGTTTTCCTCCATGACATTTTTTAACAAGTGTGAAAACAATGATGTTTAAGACATTGCAAATCGACAATGGCTGCGTTTTGACGCACCGTTTGTCGAATATCAGGCCACCAACATTTTCCAATAACATATATCCAATTAATGTACCGGATTTTTTGTGTTGTCAGGTTCAATGAACTACATACTACCTATATGGTTCTTTTTTTGAAGAGTGTATATACCTTATTGCCCGTTTAGTTTCTTTACAGACCATCGCCAAGCACCTTGAATATACATGTGTACGGCGTTAAACAGCAAACGTACAAACAAACAGTTATGGATCGCGTGGTATGGGTCCGTGACTTGGCTGATTGTGTGTCATCAGACCCCCTTTTTTAATGACCGCCGCTATATAAACTGGGGATCAAAAGAAAGTATACCGAATCTGTTTTTTATGTATTTGAAATTTGAAAGAACTGTTCTTTAGAATTTGATTATGTCTATTTAAGCATCTCTCACACCTGCAACAGTTTCTATAAAGTGGCTGGGTAATTTTGTGTTAAAATAAATTGCTTAAATGAAGACTGGGGTAAGAAATGAATCTACATGATCGTAAAATGTACATTTGTGCCGAAAAAAAAAGTTTTCAATTTTCAAAGATAACATGTCTATGATACCCAGCAGCAGTTGTGTAGTGTATTATGCGATCTTTTTTAATTCGTAAATGTTTTAAAGCAAATAATATGTGTAAACATAATAGAAAATAGAAGTATTCTTTGAGTGCTGACTAAGCGCCAGTTCAGTACATTTTTGGATATAATATTATAAAACTTAAGATATTTTCAATTGAAAATCAAACACATGATCAAATCAACTGAGAGGTATAGTTTCTTTTGCTCCTCGCTGTAGCTGCAACATTTACGGCTTAAAAAACAATACCACGTCTCTTATAATGTGTGCTGTAATGCGGCGGAAAACAACGTTAACTCACACATTGGTACGTAATATATTGGTACTATGACTTCTGCATTTATATTTTTTGTGGAACCTTTTTCGTGGTGTTGGTCCTCGAGTGACTGGCACATGGGGTCGTCATTGAAGGCTGTTTCTGCTTCTCCGTTATTTTCCGCCTTTTTCTGCGGTGCCGCTTTTCCGCCAATCAGAGGCTGTTTTACATCCGTCTTGGGATATTTCTTCCTCCACCATTGGCGGAACTTCTCGAAGTGAACTTCCGCTCTTGTCTCCAGGGGTCGGTTGAAGTACATGATGATGATGTAGAGGGCGTACATGATCAGCATCGCCATCCCCTCGTACCTGAAACATACAGGACGAATAGTGGAGTTGTGGTAACAGTAGTAGAAGTAGTAGCAGTAGTTGTAGTGGATGTGGATGTGGTAGTAGTAACCATAGTTGTAGTATCAGTAGTAGAAGTAGTAGCTGCAGTAGTATTAGCAGTGATAGTAGTTGCAGTGGTATCAGCAATGGTAGTAGTAGTACTAGTGTAGTAGTAGTAGTAGAAAACATGGTCGTATTATTATTACTATTATTATTATTACTATTAAGTAGTAGTAGTTGAAGTTGTATGAATAACAGCTTCTTTTATTCTTTGTAGGTGATGAAGGGGCATGAAGTAGGTCTGAAACGTCGTACAAAGAAAAAAAGAAGTTGCTTTCCATAAACATGTCATGTATTCATGTTCTCCCAACTTCTAAATGTCTATCAAGGATTCAGTTGAAGTTGTAGTAGCAGCAGTTGTGGCTGTAGCGGTGGTGTTAATAGAAAAAGAGGTAGTAGTAGTAGTAGTAGTAGTAGTAGAAGAAGTAGTAGTAGCAGCAGAAGCAGCAGCAGCAGTATCATTTGCAGTAATAGTAGTGGTGGCAGTATTATTTGCAGTAGTATTAGTATTTACAGCAGCAGCAGCAGTAGTAGTAGTAGCAGTAGTGGTGGTAGTGGTAGTAGCAGTAGCAGTAGCAGTGGTAGTGGTAGTGGTAGTGGTAGTAGTAGCAGTAGTGGTAGTAGTAGTAGTAGTAGTGGTAGAAGTAGCAGTAGTGGTAGTGGTAGTGGTAGTGGTAGTGGTAGTAGTAGTGGTAGTGGTAGTGGTAGTAGTAGTGGTAGTGGTAGTGGTAGAAGTAGTGGTAGTGGTAGTAGTAGTGGTAGTGGTAGTGGTAGTAGTAGTGGTAGTGGTAGTGGTAGAAGTAGTAGTAGTAGTAGTAGTAGTGGTAGTAGTAGTGGTAGTGGTAGTGGTAGTAGTAGTGGTAGTAGTAGTGGTAGTGGTAGTGGTAGTGGTAGAAGTAGTAGTAGTAGTAGTAGTAGTGGTAGTAGTAGTGGTAGTAGTAGTGGTAGTGGTAGTAATAGTGGTAGTGGTAGTGGTAGTAGCAACAGGAAGTGTGACTCACCAGTAGACCTCGGTGTCGTTGATGACGATGACGAGGGCGAGTACAGACAGGAGGTAGAACCCGGTGTCTCTGATGACCGGCCACCAGGTGAGATGGATCACCTACAACAGACAGGGGCATAAGGGGCGTCAACAGTTACACACACAAGGTCTACATTCTCACAACAAAAAACAACACGACAGAGATAAATGTTGTCTCAGCCGTCCGATGTTTGGTGTACTAACCACAAACAAAACTTAACGACCACATGATTCTTTCATATTTCAGTCGTCTAAGGCGCCGCGATTCGCTGTGCAGAGTTGCGTCCCTTGGGCATGCCAGATAACCTATGATTGTGCGTTCGAATCCCGGTTCGCCCCGATTATGTTTCTAGGTTTGTCAGCACCATACCCGTTAATTGGGTGAAAAGTTAACGCGGCATCGGCTATATTTCAACTTTAACCATTAAACTATTTCATCGATAGCCCAGACCCTTTTAGATATGCATAAACTTAAAAAGGTATGCCATATACCCCACGATGCCAAAACGGGTACTCCTAAAGCTTATGTGTACAACTGACGTTATGCCAAAATGTTTCCCACTATTTTTAAATTGATTTCAATACCTTCCAAGGACGTGAATTAGTAATGGGACCTTTTCAGTAGGAAGAGCTTTTCATTTGACAACAATAATACATAACATGTTCCAAACTCTAAACCATACTTAAACCATAATTACTTAATAAAAGTTTCATGCTGAACGGGTTATGCTCTGGAAACGTCACGTGACAAACATACGGAACCCGGTTCTAAATTTCCTTCTTTTTTTTCTTTTTTTTTTTTTGGGGGGGGGGGGGGGGTTAACGGCATGTCTTTTAATGTGAGGGAGGACTAGTTGAATACAGTTCTAGCAAACTGAATATTCCAGCCACACCATGACCCTGGGCACTAAGAACTGGCTTCACACATTGTTTTGTTTGTTTGTTTGTTTACCGCCGCACTCAACAATATTCCAGCTATATGACGGTGGTCTGTAAATAGTCTGGACCAGACAATCCAGTGATTGACATCATGAACATCGATCCACGCAGTTGGGATCAATGACATGCTTCACACATTGGGGAGATCAAACCGGGCGTTCGGCGTGACGAGCCAGTTTGTAATATTAGTAGACTAACATAGACCAACACAGGAGTGTTCATATGTCGAATATGGATTAGTCACTTTGCGACCAACAATTTAATATTCTAGGGGTGGGGAGGGGTTGTGGATGGGATTTTGTATCGACATTAGATATTTTATTATGAGTTGAATACGGTAAGAGTTTACCTGCCGCAGCCAGACACATTGCACGTGAATGTGGTGTCACGAAGTCACGTGAGCAAGGTGACGTGTAGTGTTCACTGACTGTGTTGAACCATTCGAGGTCTTCGCATTACACAGGCGAGCAGATTTGACATCTTGCTAAATATTGGCTCAAGAATTTGAGCTCACAAAGTATTGGAGTGTTTAGCCGATGGGCAAAGTTGAGCCGTAGGACAGATCCTTTTATTTGAGTGGTACGATGCGTTAGGTGTGATATGGGAAGTTGCTGGTAAAGTTACAATTGGCATCCAAAACTGAGCCAAGGAAAACGGAAGACTGAGTGAGTGAGTCATTATGGTTTCACGCCGCTTTTAGCAATATTCCAGCAATATCACGGCGGGGGACACCAGAAATGGGCTCCACACATTCTACCCATGTCGGGAATCGAACCCGGGTCTTCGGCGTGACGAGCGAACCGTTTAACCACTAAGCTACCCCACCGCCCCTAAAAACGGATGAAAAAGCAGTCACAGAGGGAGAGTATTTTAAGATAAATTTATTATGGTTATAATTTCAAACATTTCTGAATAACAACTGCAAAACTTGTTACATCATTTTTGCTTTGGCCACAATTTTATTTGGAATTGTATATTTCAGGTTACTGAAAACGGACGCGGTTTTGACAGATTCGTGGATTCGACTTGAAAGACTGTTTACGAGTTTGACGAGTGTATTTATTTGTGATTGTTACTAAACCTGCTCGCTTGTCAGCTGCGGTAGGCCTAACCCTTGAGATGCGTATGTTGTACATGGTAAATATTTTATGTTCGTTTGAACGAAGCGAATAAGAACATGATATCAAAATGTCGGCCCTTGTCTCCCACGACGTTCATCTAGGTTCATCCGAGGTGACTACCTTTCTGTCAACCTGGGTTGACTGGATTCAACCTGTGGTCAATCAAGGATAACAGGACAGTACCCGAAATAAAATGCAACCTTAGATACAATTCAACGTGGCTTCCAGGAGAAGAAGAAACACAATATCCATGTGTAATGCTCCAACACATGAGAGGCTACAGGTGTTCCTTGATTGACAAAGCTGCCATTGTACCTGAGGTACATAATGCATGTGAAACGAGAAAGTTCAAAATAACGCGCAGAACATCAATCGGAGAGTAAAGTCATGATCAAGGTGCAGTATTAATGGCCATAATGAAACTCATTGGCTTTAACTGTGGCGTTAAGTTATACACGACTTAACTTCATTGAAGTATTATGTAAATCGATGATTGACATGAGCCAAATGGTCACACATGATTAACTTGGGTGACAGCTTGGTCAATGGGTTCACCACGGTCGACAATGGTTGTGAAATCGAACGTAAGTACTGGTCCTCCGTTTGTTTCAGAAGGCCATAACAGCCATATCATATGGAAACGTATTCGTGCCACAGTCTAAAAAAAATTATAATCTGCGTAGATAATACTTTCATCTACGCGAATGATACCTACATATACGTAGATATAATAATAACATCTACGTAGATGATACTTTCATCTCCGTATGTAATATTATAATCGTACTTATCATTACTCAGACAGTGTACCCGTGAATATCCGGGGTAGAATTGGTCTTCAGCAACCCATGCTTGCCGTAAGAGGCGACTAACGGGATCGGGTGGTCGGGCTCACTGACTTGGTTGATGCATGTCATCGATTGTTTGGTCCAGACTCGATTATTTACCGACCGCCGTCATATAGCTGGAATATTGGTGAGAGCGGCGTTAAACAATAAACAAACAAACAAACAGTGATGTTGTCTTGTGCAGTTGCGACCCTAGTTGGATACAAACATTCATATTTTTAATAAAGGTGATTACTGAATTGCTGTTAATTTAATTAAATGTTTGGGAGCATGTGGGATTGTTTTTTTAACGTGTCAATCTATTAGCGCTAAAATAAAAACACAAACTGCAGAATTGTACCTTCAGTGTCTTATAGGATGATGACGAGTATTGGTTTGATATAGGTTTATAGTTTGAGTGATTCTCATGATCATCGCTTAATGTTCACGTTTTATCTCTTAAACCTAATTTCCGTTATGGAGTGAGTGAGTGAGTATGGTTTTACGCCGCTTTTAGCAATATTCCAGCAATATCACGGCGGGGGACACCTGAAATGGGCTTCACACATTGTACCCATGTCGGGAATCGAACCCGGGTCTTCGGCGTGACGAGCGAACGCTTTAACCACTAGGCTACCCGACCGCTCTTCCGTTATGGAGAAATCCTGAGGATCAACATATTCCTCCGGCTTTACCATGATCTGGTTGATAAATACTTTCGCTAAAATGTTGAATAATGACCTATAGCTGTTTATTTGTTTGTAGTTTGGAGAACAGTTTATGAGAGAGTGTGGCGTGTGTCATTCTCCAGTAACTTCGATCGAAGATAATACCTCAGTAAAGACATGTCAAGGTAGAAAGTCAAACAAATTGGCCATTAATAATCAAGCCAGTGGTTATATATCTAACCCGACCCGGAAGTAGTGTTGATTACTCGAGAAAATATTGATACCTGGATGAAAGTATCTCCTACGTTGATGGTGTTTTTAGTCTCTGGCACTAATACGCTTCCATAATATCACATTTTTCTTTCTTGTAAAATAAGTATATAGATTACTACAAGAATGCCTGTCAGATACCATTTATCTTACAACTCGTTAGATACGTTTTGAAACAACAAGTTGTAAGATAAATGGCATCTGACAGGCACAAGTGCAGTAATCTGTTTCTTACACACCCTAAAATAGCACGGTGGGACACCTTTTTAGCATCGAATCGATACATTTTGTCTGTTCTCATGATCGCAGTGGCGCATTGATACATAACACAATGGTCATGAGTGATTTTCATTCGACGTACTGCTTATGATGTAACCCTACAGCTAAACCTAAAAACGTTCCGCCATCTGTGGATTATCAAGGCGATGATGATAGTAAACAATTAGATAGGATCAAAGAACCCGCATGATGCCGAGTTAAAAAAAATCACCTCAAAGAATTTACCAAATATGTACAACAATGTTTACTACCGTATGACATCACTGCCGGTGACCGACTTCTACAAAATGGCGTGTTCACTTACACCAGTACGCGGGATCTTCAGAGGAGGATTTTCGTTGATTGACGGATGGTATTTACATAAATGTGCCATGTAAAAGAAAAAAGGTTGATTATGAAATGTCTGTCTCTGAAGAAACTGTAAAAGCTTCAAAAAGTAAAGATTGTAAATTAATTTGGAAAACAATTAAGAAATATTGCTACAGACGTGAGTTGGGATCGTCATCCATCACTGCTGATGATTGGTATGTCTACTTCAGAGAACTTTTAAATCCGCAAGTAAAACCAAATCACTCTTTTGATAAAGATGTCGCAGATTTCCTAGAAAACCATTTTACTGTAGACTGTGATGACTGTAGAAACTGCGATGAACTGATCAGTGGGGAAATATCAGACCGTAAAATAATATATGCTATACAGCATTTGAAAACTGGAAACCTGTTCCCTATTGTTACCCTTCTATAAAGGTCTTTTTAACCATATTCTTGAGGCAGGTCAATTCCCGGAATCATGGAATCTTGGACTTATTGTCCCATTACATAAATCCGGCTCGAAGGATAAGGCAAATTACTACAGAGGCATTGCCATGTTAGACATTATAAGTAAAATATTCATATCAATTATTGAATCTCGAATAAATTTTCGGGTCTCCGCACAACAGATACTGTCAGAATGCCAAGCAGGGGTTAGAGAAGATT